CTTAAACCTGACACCTGAGTGACCCTGAGTGACCCTGAGTGACCACTGACACCTGAGTGACCACTGAGTGACCCCAATGTCCCCAATGTCCCCAGTCCCCAATTTTCTGTTGTTTTTCACATTTCTCTCACTTTTCTCACCAAKTTTTTCCCCGTTTTTTTTYACTTTTCCCATTTTTCCCCACTTTCACCCCGTTTCTCACTCACCGGGCGCCATGACGGTGTCGCTGCCCACCCTGGCCGCCATGCTGAGCGAGTCCTTGCCGCCGTCGATGGCCACCCCGAGGCGCCGCAGGGCCACCACCAGAGCGTCGCACGCGGCCACCAAAGCGCCGCCCTCGGCGCCCGTCTTGGCCCCCCACATCCAATTGCCCGAGCACTTCACGTCCTGGGGACACGGGATTGGGGCGAAATCGAGGGAAATTGGCAAAACCGGGGAAAGGGGGGAAAGAATGGGGAGAATTGGGGGAAAAAGGGGGTACAAATGAGAAAAAGAAAGAGATAAAAATGGGGGGAAATTGGGTTGGGGACATTGGGGACAGCAAATTGGGGACAAATCGGGGAAATTGGGAAAAATGGGTGAAAAAGGGGAAAAATAGGGGTACAGTTGAAAAAAATGGAACAATTGGGAAAAAATTGGGGAAAAATTGGGGAAAATTGGGGACATTGGGACAAAGGGACACAAAGGAGCCACAAACAGAGAGGACACAGAGACAGAGGGGGGAGGGGACCATTCAGTGCCAGCAACTGCCCCTCCCCCAATGCCACCCCAACCCCGATGTCCCCAATGTCCCCAATCCCCCATTTTCCCCCCAGTTTTATCCATTTTTARCCATTTGTTTTCTGATTTTTCTCCYCGCTTTTTCATGTTTTTTTACCAAYTTCCCCGTGTTTTCCCCCAGATGTCCCCAAGGTCACCTTGAGATGCGTCACCCGTGCGAACACCAGGTTGGTCAGCGCCTCGGCCAGCGCCAGCCGCGCTCCGGCCGCGGGGTCCAGCAGCCCCTTGAGCGGCTGCTCGCCGATGGCCGTGGCCGCGCCGCTGTCCCCAAAGTGCGACAGGGCCACCACGGCCACGTCGGCCAGCGGCGTGTGCAGGGGCCCCACGCACTGCTGCTGCGCCACCAGCCCCGTCACCGAGCGGTCCACCTGCCAAACGGGCCAAAACGGCAAAAAAACGGCCACAATTTCATCAAGAAGGAGGGAAATTTTGGATTGGTAATATAGGGAAAATTGGGGAAAAT